TTAGCTTATTTTTTATGTTTTAGAACTCTTCTAAAGTTTTTACATTTACTTCAGAATACGAGTTCTTTTATCATCACTTAATCATTCTCATTTGTTTAAAAAGAAAAAGTATTTGTCTTTTCTGTCAGTTGGCTGCTATTTAAAATTCTGTGAAAAACATCTGCTAGTTTGAAATTTAAAGTTGCATTTTTGCATGCAATAGAATCAGCATCAGTATGAAAAGAATTAAACAATTACTTTAATCTTTAATTTGACTTGTTTTGAATGAAACTGTTATTTCCTTTAATCAGATTTTGTAGAGATAAAGAGATGTCTAGTTAATTAAAAAGTACATTTTTTACAATAGACGTAAGTATTGTTAGATGCAGATAATTTCAGATACGTTATGAAGAGGATATTTGAGGACTGATTCAGTGTTTGAGAAATCATCTTTTATGTTTTCCAGTAAGTTGAATTTATGTCACTGAATAAGCATCTCAGTGTGTTCCCCTAAAAATGAGTTGTGAAAGTCTGAAGATAATTTGTTAATACATCATAAACTAAGGAATGAGAAGTGAAACACTTAAGCGCTTCAAGAAAAGATGTAGGAGGGTCCTATATACTTCTAAGTGGAAAACTTAAAATATAAAAGGTGGTTGATGGTAATACTGAAAAAAGAATAATCGATATAGAATTAAATTTTACTGCTGTGATATTTCACCAATGTTTTAATTTTTGTTTAATTAAAACTTCTTTCGTGTAACTGAATATGTGTGTGAAATGGTGTTAATGTGTTTCAGCTTACTAATAATGGTGTTTCTCTTACTGAGGTTTAGCCTGCCATCTTTCAATGGCAAAGTGCCTGTTGATATTCCTGGGAGTTTGGGCAACTGCAGAGCAAGACAGATTAAACAGTACTTTTGAAGTTATGTGCAGAAGTAATAAGAACATTAAAGTTGCGGAGTTAAGCACCAGAAGTTGCCTGTTCTAACCTTAATGTAGTCTTGTTGTACATATACATTATGATAATTCTGTTCCTTGTTATACTGAAAATCTGTTTCAGATTTTCTTAAATGCAAGATTGTCATCTGTCTTTTTGCAGTTCTGTGCTCCATCTCTTGTCTCTCATATACATTGAAAAGTTAAGTACCTTGAAGAAATAACTTTCTGATCATGTTGTAAAAAGCTGTATCACAGGTGATAGGCACTGAGGGATCAAATTAACACTGCATAAGAAACAGAGCTGTCAGCAAAATGCTTTAGTTGGTGGTTTGCTTCTGTTTCTGTCCCTACAATTACACTTGGACCCGGATAGCAGATACAGAACTGCTTGCAGCTTCCCAGTAGAAATGGTAACTAAAGTAGTGCAAAAACTAGTTTGAGTCCAAATAGTTTTGGAAAAATGCTCCTGATAAGGTTCCCTGCAGGAGCAGTGAAAAAGATTCATCGATTCTTTAATTTCCCTGTAGATTAAATCCTGATTATATTGTGATGACCTAATGGTGGACTAGACTTGACATATTTCAATATAGAGGGTGTTTATGAGACTGTTATTGTTTGCAGGAGAGAGAAGAGGGTGTATTTTTATTGTATGGGCATGTCTCAAGTTTTGAGGTTTTATGTTTCAAACTCTTATCTGAGTTTTTAAACCAAACTAACATGTAGCATTTAGAGTGTGGTCTGTTTTCAGCATGATGATGCATGGCTCCTACCAAATTATTTTCAATTAGCTTTTTCTGGTGTTTCAAAAGAATAATTTAGTTGATAACCCTAAATATAACTGGATTAGATATTTCTGATTTCTGAGTTGCTGCTAACGTGTTTTCTCAGGTAGCATTTTTCTGTCATCCCTTTCTCATGAGGTTGTCTGCCCTTTCTGCCATGGTCATTACCAGAATTCTTGTGTAGAATTCCTGCTCTTCATATAGGTCCATGCTGCGAGTACCTCCAAATATTGGTAATTTAAGATGTTTATATATATACATAAATATCTGTATATACCTACACACATGAACAAACACATGTGTACATGTGTGTATGAGTGTAAAAGGAGCTGATACCAAATTTTTGAATTACTGATGAAAGTAGCACAAGTAAAATTGTTCTTCAAAGCCCATGTTTGCTTTCTTGATATTTTTAATAGAAATTATAATACGCCTGTGAATCTTTAAAGATCCTGTCATGAAGTGACGCTTCTGTGTCTGAGAATTTCTCTCTACGCTTTCATGACAACTGAAATCTATGGATGTGTTCTTGGGTTCAGCCCTGAAGGTTCAACATCTGGCCAATGGAAACGAAACATTTTCACCAGAGGTTCTTGCACTTGGAATTTGTTTCCTTCTGTAGGTCTGTGTCAAAACCTGACTGAGCCTGTTTAACTTGAGGCAATGGTGTAAAGCCCATCTGTTCCTTGAAACTTTTCCCCGAAGGAGTCATCTACAGTGTATTTATATTCTCAGCTGTGGTTGTGCTTTTTCAAATACTTAGTTGATGTTTTTTGACTAATTTGTGGTTTGAGTTTGTTTAAAGGTATACTGAATGGATGTATTTTTGAAGCAAATTTTAAGAATGTTGCAGAACTTCCCTGTCTTTAACAGTGAAGAGCTCGTGTCTCTGCTTACTGTGGATGGAGAAATAACATTTATGAACTGCTACTGTTAAGAATAGAGAACCCACTGAGACTTCTGTTCTATTTAACATATGCAAAAGTCCATGAAAATAAGTACAAATGCAAAGCATATGTAACCTAATATCTCTGAACACCTGGTTTTAAAATATATTGACAATGCAATAGGTTGTTACATTCTTTAGAAGGAAAGAGTACTAACAATTTTGTATATAGTTTTACTGTCTTTGCATTTGAAGTTAGAATTATTGATTTAATTTGAGAGGAAGTCCATGTGATAAAGCAAGGTTTTAATCAAAATTTCCTTCATGAGCCTTTGTTGAGTGCTCTTGGGGGGGAAAGTGTACAGTTAAGTAATTAGCAAAATTAAAAATTTTAAAAACAACATTATGAAATGTTTTTTTGGATGAAGAGGTTGTATTTGTCTGACATTGTGATTTAATGTAAGCAGTTTAGGTTAACATTTTTGTGAGAGGAAAAGAGACAATATTGTTACGAAGGTGCTTCAAATGTAAATATGGGACAGAGTTACAATAATTTGTTCTTGTAGGATATTTGAATGAATAATTTCATTAATTAAAGAAGATAGAGTCTTGTCTACATGAGGAAATTATCACAAATAAGCTATGGTATGAATTTAAGGTATAATAGCTATTCAGCACTAACTTCTTATATGAACAATTTTATTCTGTACTACAAATGACCTTTCACAGTTTAGTTGACTGAAAAACATGCAAGTTCCCTCCAGCCCCAATGACAAATAAATATTTATGTCAGGAGTTAGTGCAGAACAGTTACTACATGATAAAATTACATTGTCAGCTTATTCTATATTCTACTGGCCTTCTTAAAAGCATTCTTAGGACAAAGTATAATACTGTGTTATAGATGTACTCCTACGGGTACTTGTATATTATATATGGACTTACAGCAAAATATATTATTTCTAAGAATATCTATATTCATCTATATATTCTGAGATATCAGAAGTCTATCATGCTTTGCTGGAATCAAAGACGATGGTCATGCAAACTAGACTATTGTAAAATAAATTATAAATTCATCAACTTTAGTTACTATTTTGACATATAAGGATTAATGATGTTACTAAAACAATGGGATTAATAGCAGCTGGTGTGATTAGGGTTCAGATATAAGTCATAAATTACTTCTTTTCAATAATGGTAAAATCACAAAATTACCTTTGTTATCACATGTAATATTAGATGACAAAGCTATATGCCTACTTGTCGTTGCTTATGTGATGGGCATTAAAAAAAGAAAAGTAAATGACCACAAGAGTTATCCCAGGTCAATCAGCTTCTGAAGATGGTCACTATTCCACTACCTTTCTGGCTTTCTAATACAGCAAATTCGGGACACAAATATGGAAGCTTTCATATGAGAAAATCCGGAAATGTTTCAATTCCTATAACTCTTAAACCACATGAAGACAATAACATCGCTTGCATATTAGTGTATTTAAACATGTTATGCATTTTGACTTTTAATAAGAATGTAATTTCAAATACTTTAATTTGCTTATTTTGCAGTTTTTATCAACTAACTCCTTTTGTTCTAAAACAGAAGTTTGCATTGTTTTTCAGGTGCTTTGATTACCTTTTTTTTTGTCTTCAAATGTATCTCTATGTATTTCTTAAATATATTTTCTTTGGTTCTATAATTTTCTAAGAAAATAGAAAAACTGGGATTAGAGCTGAATGGAAGCAAACAGCGTTTGGAACAAGCCCAGCAGGATGTGACAGGAGCCAGAGAGGAGTGCCTAAAACTGGCAGAACTGCTGAGTAAATCTGAACACCAACTGCACCTCACCAGGTACCCCTTATCCTATTACATGCTGTAGTACCAATTTCATTCTGCTAATTTTTGCCACAGGCTTCCCCACAGTTGTTGTAGATCCTTGCAGTCATTGACTGCATGGGCAGCCCTCAGTCAAGTTAGAAGCGGAGATTGGAATAAGTGAGTTATGAACTACAAAGTGAGTTATGAACCATGTAGAAGTGAATTACTAGTGTAGCAGAAAAGGCAATGTTCAGCCCTGGTGATGAAGTGGCATGCTTCTAGGCAGGAAGAAGAGTAGGGGAGACTGCAGAAGCGTTCTTCTTGTTGTTGCTGTGTTTGGTAGGACAAAGATATTTGAAATGTTTAAGACTAGTGTACAGCAACACCTTTAAGCATAGGAGTTCTCAGATTAATAACCTGAAATTTCTGCAGCAGAATGACCGGGAACATATAAATGAACATAATCGTGTCTATAGGAGGTAAACTCAAGTAAGTGAGGAGGGTGTTTAAGTCAATGAAGATATAGTACAATACAATGTGTGATGGGCTCCCTGAGTTTATTCCATCCTTGGGTATAGTTCCCAATGTCATTTAATGTACTACTCATTACACATTTCTAGAAAACTCCAGAAGGTTGACATGCCAACTATTCATTGCAGCTTGAGTTTTGGTAATTGCAGGATTGTTTCATTTTGCCTCAGAAAATGCTATTGTCTGACTGTTTGCAGTCTTTTGGTTGTGTGTATGGTTATTGTATTGTTCTGCCACCCTGCTCTCCCCAAGAGTGAACATCCAGAAACAAATTTGGCAGCTTTTTTTTCCTCAATCCTTAAAGAAAAAAGTTCAGTTAGTTTAAATTTTTCATGGGGGGGGAAAAAAGCCCAAATTTTTATCACTTAACAGAAGTCTGTGTGTTTATCCAACTCTTGTACATTTTGGGCTTTGTGAGAATTTTGCCATTGAGTACATGGAAATAAAATAGAGCCTTGTCTAAACTATTGAATTCAATGAATCATTTTTTTTTTTATTCAGCTAAATTTCTGTGTAATTCAGAGCACGGTTGTTTAACAGATGGAAGAAAGTACCACTCTAACAGCCTGTATTTAGAGAAAAAAATATGCTAGAGGTTAATGAACTTGAAAAAAGTTTTGGGTGAGTTGTTAAGATATCTAAAGTTTGGATTTAGCAGAACTTTATTAATAATGATTTGTTGTGATAGTTAACCAAATGGCTTACCGTGCTCCTTTTAGCAAAAGGCTGATTATATGCAATAAAGCTCTGGATATCTTGGAGGAAATCTGAGTAGTGAATTTATAATTTTTTTATTTTTTTTTTGGTGCAAATACTTAAAATGTAAAAATGAGGACTGTAGCCTACTTTTACATAGCAAGGTAATTAAAGCTGAATACCTAGCTTACAGATGATTCAGATAGCTTTTCAACGTATCGTCTCTGACTCGGAAGGTTTCTGAGATCCAAATCACTGGATGCTGGGAATTGTATTTTGGGCAAGTAATGCTCTGTGCTGGCCCCGTTCTCATACAATTTCACACACGCCTGCTTTTTAAGACAGATGCTGAACTGCCGCGGCTTCTTTGTCTGACCTAGTGCAGACACTCTTCTGCAAGGGGCTGATCTCTTGGGGGTTTGGGGGTTTTTTGTTACTACTTTGTGTTCACGTTATAGCTTCTGCTTATAAGTATTGAAATGTTTTCTATGCTGACATGTCTTCGTTGGAAAAAGATATATGCTGAGGCATGGGAAATAGGTTCCAATCTTTCTTCTTGACGTTCCCCAAATTCTATAATACTTCGTAGATTTTTGTGTTCTCTATATATTTGGACTGTCTGTCTGCTTTCCAGGAATACATTAGGTGATGTTGCTGTCAGGGGTGAAGGAGGGAGCAAAAGAGATGAGCAATTCATTGCTCCTGGACTGTTACCCATTTTCCCCTTGTACTTAAATTGGTAGGGCAGTGTTAGAGGTGTTCTCGCAGAGTTGCCTGTTTTCCCTGAGTTGCAGAGGAAAACATCCCCTACTCAAATGAAACTTGTCCTTAGCCTGTACTCCTTTTCTTCCTCTCAGATCACTTCCTGGCAGAACAGATTATCTGTGTTAGTGAAGATATAAAGGTTCCATGCCTCTAGTTGCATCAGTTTTGCCTTTTTAAACTTAGTATGTTTTTCATGGATTGGTACATCCATAGTTGTTGAATGTGAATTTTTTTCGCTCATGATTTGCCTTCTTGCATTAATTCCCTTCATCTCAAATGGCAACCATGTCAGTGAAAATAGTCACTTGAAGGGTTGGGGTAATAGCAATCCTGGGGGGGTTATAGACCCATTCACTGTGGCACTTGCCAAGGAAAACAGATTTTAAGCTCTAGAGTCCTGGCTGTGGGAGGTTGCTGCAGAAATTGCACTGATTTAGTGCATCTCTTGGGTATTCTGGCCTTGGCCTTGTCTTCCTGATTCTCTTCTTTTCAGGAGAGGACCAGCTGGTCCGCTCCAAGTCTTCTCACAACGCTGGATTTGAAGGAGGCTGTACTGCTGTTACTGTTGCGGATGGTCTTTCTGTTGCCTTGCATGACCTGTCTGTGCTGTTCTGGCAGAAACCTGAGGTAGCTGAGGAGATACAGAAATAATTCTTTATTTTGTATGAATTAGTATATTACTAAGGAGAGAAGTTCTTCACTAATCCAATGATTCCGTGTTTGGATATTGTAAATAAATAGGATAATAAAATGAATACCAGAACTTGGGATTTTAATGTACAAAAATGAGATGATAAATGTATATGAATGGATTAAGTGAGAAAAAAACATGCAGTCTGTCTCTTAATGAGAAAAAGAAAGTGCTCTGCAGAGCAACACTCTTCTCCACAAGTCCCACTTCTTTGCTGCATCCTAGTTTTCAGACATTGTTGATTGATTACCAACTAAACAGCTTCTAAGTTAACAAAATGTACTTGTTAAAAATGAAGAAAAAAGGTTACAATTAGCTATTCTAAACCATTGCCACAGAGTTTAAAATTGCCTTTTCCTGTCACCTTTCTTCCTGGAGCAATATGTTGCTTAGAAATCCTTGCTATTAACATGCATTTTCTGCTATTGAATCTAGTTAGTAATTCTAATATGTATATCTTGAAAAGACTGGAAAAATACAGAATTTTTACTGTGTAGTTTTGCTTGTCAGTCATGTAACTTTGCAGATGTCACCATGCTATGAGACTGACCATGATTGTTTAAAGTTTTCTTGGGGTTTTTTTGCCCTAGTTTCAGCTTTATTTTTATTTGTATTAGAGTTATTGTAGTAGGAGAATCTTATGAAACTAGTTCTTAAGTCAATGTTAAATTGCCATTACTTTGTCAAGGTTAGGTCTTGCTAATGAATCTTACCTGAATCCGTTCTTCAGAGAGTGGAAAACATATAAATCTATTGTTCTTAGTTGATGAAAGAATAGTCATTAAAAATCATGTCAATATGCTCATGGAAAAGATCATATAGAAGATGCAAGATGTTAACAACTTGTCCAGATCTTAGCGTGCCATCTAATTTAATAAAATTTTTAACTATTCTTGCGTAACAGAATCATCATTGAAAAACTTTCTTCTTTCGCTTTCAAACCAGATCTGAAGTTATTATTTGTTTCAGTTGCAGTCAGATGTAATTCCTGTTTACATATGCCAAAGAAGTTAAATAAATCTTAAGAAGTGAGGGAATCACTGAGTTTCAAAATTGAATTTTTTCTGTGCCATCATGTGTTTTCTCAGGTCAGAGGTAGGTAGATGGCTTGAGATACTTTAGACTGAAATGTCATCTAAAATTTACTGGAAAATATAATGGAGTAAAATTGAAGCAGATTTAGTTTAGTTTAATTTTTTATTATTCTTGTTTGCTTATATGAAATATTACAAGCACTAGTGAGGGTCAACTTGTAGGTGAGGAAGAATTACTAAATGAACCCATGCTTTCAGGTTCAGGTGACCCACCAAGGTGCCCTAAATCCCTGTGTCATTCTCTTGAAGGACTAAAGTCTATCTTACAGTGAGTCAGTGGGTGTTGAGTTTCTTGATTATTGTTTTTCCCCATTATGGGATATTCCTTTTCTCCCCTCTTTTTGACGATGATATGATCTCTAGAAAGCAGCAGATCTAAGAAAATGGCAGTTAGGTCTTAGCAGTGCTATAGCCATCCTACTGCGCATTGGTCCTTCTTGCTAGTTTCAGTGACTCCATTAAGGCTAGCTTCTATTACATGCAAAATAAATCAAGCACATACCCTTCCAGCTTAATGTGGCATTAGCACAGTCTCTGAAGCTTTGGTGTTGAGCTGTATGTTGTCATCAGTGTTCCTTGTTAGATATGTCGCATGCCTCATACATTGATTTCCCTATTTAAACTATACTATTAAATGATAAAATTGTAAATTAACTTCTTGGTGGTTATACATAGCCTTCTAGGGAGTTGCACACTACTTAATATTTATTGTTTTCTTCCTAGCAGTATCTATCAGTTAGCAGCATACTTACCGCGATGCTTTTTCCAACAATTTCAGCATGTCAGAGTCCATCATCTATGCTGGAAAGGAGTTTTAAAGAAATGCTTTTACTAATATTACATGACTGAGATGTGCTTTATGTTCTCAGACTAACTGATGAAAGGACCAACAACACTTGAATTGGGGGGGTTGGGGAGAAGCATAAATAAGATGTAAGCAGTGATTGATTTCTAATTTTTTTATATTCTGCTCATCTTGTACAAAACCATTATTTTAAAATGCAAGGAGGGGTGATAACATGAAACAACTCTGACAACTAATAAACTTTTTAGATTATGCTTCATATGTTTACTTTTCATTAAATTTAGGGACAGTTGCGACTATGTTGTTGTGATTCAGTCAACATTTACTTCTATCTGTTTTTCATATACAAAGGCATCGGGGTGCCAGAAAATAAACTGTTAACGGAGAATTAACTTCTTTGGCACGCTTTCATACTTATCTTCCAAATTAAAGAAAATGAAATGGGCAGAAGCAGAGTGTAGATTACCTCCTTTTTGTCAAAAATGGTGGGAATTTGAAAATTAATAATAAAAAAGGGAACAGATGCAGTAACATGCCAGAGGGAGATTAATGTGGAGAGTAAAATCTGTGAGCAACAAAACTGAAGCAAACTGAATCAGTGGGAGGTGGTTGTACAATCAAAATCAGGATAAAAGAGAAATTACAAACAACCCTGCACTTGTCAAAGTAGTAGTAATGAAATCCTGACTCTGCCAGCAGCGAGAACCTGTGTTAGCACTTTGGGGTAAGGCCGGGAGCCGGGTGCCAGGTAGGAGGGCAGCGCGAGGCTGCTGGGCGGCAGCCATCGCGTGTGGAACAGATGGCGGGGAAAGCTGGCCGGGGAGGGGCTCCTTCGCAGAGCTAATCAGACAGTAACGGATAGGGCAGCTGGGAGGACTGACCACCGAGAGGCGAGCGGCGGGGTAGCCGCAGCCTTCCTCGATGTGTGCAGTGGTGTGCCCGCCGGCCGGAGAGAAGACCTTGCAACGTCTTTTCTCTGCTGCAACCGCACAAACTTTGGAGGTGGGCGGTGGGCATCGCCCCGTGCCAGGGAATGGGGGCACGTGCTGGCACCGGGCTCCCTCTGCGGCCTCCAGGGCCTCGAGCGCGTCCCACCTCGGGGTATCGCGCCCCTCCTACCTCAAAAATACGTGTCTTTGCTCTCTGTCCTGTTGTGTGGTCAGGTTATGTGGTTTTGTGTTTTATTGTAGCGGTATAGTGAAGGTAGAATTTGGTGACTGACAGAAATGCTAAAGCATATGGGTCCAGGGACTGATCCAGCAAACCGATATGGAAACTTTGCTCCTGTTGAAAGGTGGGAGGGAGAGCTGTAGGTCAGCACCTTCCCACAGGGCTGTGCCCCTCCAATGAATGGAACCAGTTTTCTGATGTTTTATTTTTGCTCGGAGGAAGCACTTCCCTCCTCATAAATGAGAGCTTGTGAGGAATGAATGGAGGTCCGAGCCTTCTGATCTTGAGTCACATGAATAATTTGACTCACGTAAGAAGTAAAGATCAATAGGATTTCTTGTGCAAGTAAGAGGTAGTCATGTGTGAGAGGATTACAAGGTCATGCCCTGTGTTGATGACTGTCAGCTTGAAAGAGAAATGAAAACAAAATTTTATCAAGGAAAGGGGGAAATAAAATCCTGAAGTGTAGCAAGTGGGACCTGACCTATTACTATCCAGTTTTGTTTGATCTGGATATATGATACTTTTTTAGACAATTTCAACAAAGAAAGCTACATGTCCTGCATCTGCTTTCTGAACTTGTATACACCTTGTCTGCAGAAGGTTTATAGGTTGGCTCAAGTATTCATTTTGAGCAGGGAGGGGAGGAAACATTACAGGGATTTGAAATAGGTGGTATAACATAGCCATATGCTATTTATGCAGCAGTTTCTGCAATAAATCTAATTTGGTGCTGTCAAAAAAAATTAGACTTATTTGGTATAGCAGCACATTAGTAAATGATTGTGGTAGCTTTGAAAGTTGTCATTCACTGTGCTTTACTTGCAATAGAATCTTGCAGAGCTTTTTTTTTTCACCTGAGAATCTCTGTGAAAATTCTCAGTTCTTTGTCCTGCAGCTGTAAAAACTGCAAATATTTCCACCACTGAAAAGGAGGTCTTGCTTTAAGGTAATTGAAGAAGGAGATAGAAAAAAGAATAGCCTGCATTGTTAACAATCATATGAATGTATAGGGGGATAAATTTCTCCCTTGCCTACAGGTTTTCATAGTGCAGCTGAAATTGTTTATCTGATTATACAGCATGTAGATAAATTAGTTGCTCTGCGTTATTATAGAAGGTAAAATATTTTACCTGCCATGATAAGACCATATGCTGCTTTATGAAGACTGATACTGAGTGATTTGAAATAAATTGGTTCTGTCGTCTTCTGGCAGTGTGTTGTAAAATTTTCGAAGCTGATATACTCTGTGTCAAGATAACACACAATTATTTAAATATCTTTCTATTTAATATTTTAAACATATTTAAGTTATTGTACAGACGTATAAAAGCCAATGATGAATTTTGTAGGGGAAAGAAAGAAATTCTAAGTAAAGGAGTAAAGAACAGATCCAAAATCATATATTCATTTTGAATATGAAAGTATTTACAAATCACCTTTTTTCTTTTTTAAAGAGTTTTAACGTGGTTGACAATTTTATTTATTGTCCTACTATACAAATTTCTCAAGGAAAAGTCACTAATACATTTCCAATTTTTAGTCTTAGATTCATCTAAATTTTTCTTCACGGCATTTCAACTGCAACTGGTCACATAGAATTTCTCTAATGATTGCATCAGGTTGTTGAGGCAGCCAAATTGCTGCTGCATGTAGAGTGTGGTTCAGGAGCAGTGACAGTACTTAAAGCACTTTGGAGTGAGTAGTGAATTCAGATGAAATACAGAAGAGACTAACTGCTGTAGAAAACAAATGTCTTTATAAGGTCTTTGTTTTGAGCAGTTATTATTCAGCACTAACAGTAATAAGTTTATGAGTGTGTATCAAATATTTACTTTGATCTTATTCAAATTAGGTTTTCTATTTGTGTGACTAATGACAACGGGATAATGATTTATTTTTTTGAACCATAAAAGTCTTTTAGATACATGTATTTACGGCTGCTGGATTTTTTGCTGAATTTGCTACTGGAAAAATGGTTCTGATTTTTATCTTTATCTTTGACTTGTTCTAAGGCTTTTCTCTCAAGTGCATCTGAAAACTTGTTTTTACAATAGGCTAAAATGTACTTTTTCAGTCAGCGCTTGGTATTTGTGAACTTAAACAATTTTAAAAGCTGTCTTGTGCTTTCAGAAGTATATTCGAAGTTGTTTATTTTGTGCAGTCACAGTGGTTGTTCATTTTTTGGTATTTTTTTCTGTGCAAGAGTCTGCTCCTGAAATTCTTGCCTAGAAAAAAAAATCCAACAGAGAACCCAAAAGGTCCTGAACTGGACACTTTGTCCAACTTGACTTTGAAGAGCATCAGCCTGTGGGTTATCACCTCTGGAGAAGGTAGCTGGTGGATAGAGGAATGGAAAAAAAAAAAAAAATCACCTGAACACATCATCTTTGGCTGCCTGGCTGCTCTCCTTGCCCCCGTGCTCCACACCCTTGTGCTGGTGATTGGTCGGGAAAGAGTGTAAGCTGGGAGATGCCTCTCCTGGGTGAGCAGATGAGCACAGCCTCTGCTGTGGGCTACTTAACAGGGCTGAACTCCTTCCCCTGGCTGTGCCGGCAGCATGGCAAGGTTAATAGCATGCTGCTGTTGGTTGACCCTGGTGGTTTCAGTATCAAACTGCATTTTTGTAGAAACAGGAAAAACTGTTCTTCATTAGCTTCTCCTTGTTGGTCAGTTGCCTTCTACAGGACTTAAATCAAACTGGAGATTGAAGTGTATTCTTCTTCTGCCAGAGTTCCTCTTCTATTTCCACTGCATTTGTTCACCTGCATTTGTTCATATAGCTTCCTGTGGAAGAAGATCATAGCATCATAAAATATTCCCTTGCAAATGCCCCATATAAGGTATATATCAGTATTAAGTTATTATTCAGCTAAACTTGTGCCATGTTTGTCAATCTAATTTTCATTAGAAACAAATTCAGACCTAACGTAAGTATAAATGCATTTCTGCTAATGAATGAGGTTGGACTACTTCCTGGATTTGATCCCAGAAAGCTTTACTTTAAATTCATTTTTGGTGAAATGATAATAAAATGGGTGGTTCATTATAATTGCTTACAAAACTTAAAATATGTATTTTATTTTTTGGTACTGTATTTAATCTTGGTTTAAAGGATACCCAAGGTAAGCAGTGAAATTGAAAGGTATTTCTTATTTTTGAAGAATGAAACTGTCAGGTTAGTTTTAACTAACTGAGGAGGTTAGTTAATAATTCAGAAACTTTTCATTGTCAGTGTGTATTCCAGGAACTGCTAAAAATGATGTATCCTGTTGACAGTATGAATTTAGTCTCAGCCCTGACAAAGAATCTTTACAATTTGCCTCAATGTGGAAAGCAGTATTCTAACAAAGAGTTGCATCTGTGTATTTTACAAGGCTTGAAAACAAGAAAAAATATTAAGAAATTTTTCCCTTAATAACATTGCATTTGAAGCATCGATAGGTAAGGTAAAAAAAGAATACTGAAAATTAAATAATTTGCAGCGAATGCTGTTGGCTGCTTTAAGGTTTTACTGTAAACTCACTCATTCAGCTGTTCCCATTTTCTCTTTGTATTTTTTGTTCAATATCTCTATTACATGGTGTTAAAACAAGTCAAAAGCTTTCATTTATTTTATTTGTAATATTCTTCCACTTCTTTACATAGCTCTGCAAAGTCTTTCTCAGATTCTGCTAGTCTTAGCAAGAAGGAATAGATATACGTATATGAAAAAAAACACATTAGCTCTTGGAGTTAACAAATAATGATTAAAAGCTATTCTTTTGCTTCTGTATTATTTCTCCTATACACCAAACTGATCTTCACAAATACAGAACTGTAAAGAACTTCATCTGCTGCTGGTTAGCAGGAGTGGATTTAAATCTACACCGACAGTTCATTTGACAATGACCTTGAGGGGCTTTGCTTCTTGAAGAAGAAAGCAGAAGCTTGCGGTAAACAAAGTTCACTTCTGACAGATGGATTGAATGACAGAAAGGTTGCGAGTGCCAGAATAGCCCTGGCAGAGGAGGAAATGTTCAGTGGAATCCAACAGGAGAGGAGGTGTGAACAGGTGCAGGGTTGCTGACGGAAGGGGAACCAGATGGAAGGAGCCAGAGCCAGTTTATTTAAAGGAAAAGGCAGAAAACACTGAAAGGCTGTGCGATCAGTGGCTAAAAGTGTGCATGGAAGAAGGTAAAAATTCACAAAGCAAAACTGCACAGTGGGATATCTAGCACTTAACATAATGGTAGTAATTTGTGAGTTTCATTTTAAAGTTGCTATTGAAATATGTTTCTCCCTTATTCTTGACAGCATAAAGAAGAGAGATTTATAACCTGTCCAAAAAAACCCCAAAACAAAGCACCAACAAAATATTCAACTGTTATATTGCCTGTCCATTATTTCTAATAAGAATGTGCAGTTACAATCAGGATAATACAAAAATTATGCCACACTTGACCAAATGAATAAAAGGCATATAAGGCTGGATTTTTATTTTTTGACTCACCTTTTCGTATCTAGCTCCTGTCATAAGTGGACAGATAAACATGCCTTTCACTGGAGTGTTTCTGTAACATCTAGAGCAAATCAACAACAGTAAAGTACAATGTCATGTTAGCACAGTGTTTTTCATCTTTTGTGTTTTTGGTTGTAAGCCTGTCAGTTTGCTGGAATATGTGGTATCTTGCTGTAGGATGGGGTAGAAGTCTAGCTCACCCTAGATCAAATTCCCTGAAAATGAAATACTGTCTTTCAAATTGTCATCCTGAAGAATTCTTTGTTCTGTCAAATGGTTCAGCCTCTTCCTAAGATGGGCTTGTGAGGCTTGGTCCTTTGGAGGGAATTAAAAAACATTCCTCACCTTCTCAACTTCAGCAATAGTTGGAGAGCATTAGCAACTTCCACGTATCAGGCCTGTGGCAGTTTAACTGCACAGGTTGGGTGTCCAAACGTAGTGTCCATGAAAAATGCAGGTAACTGTTCAGCAGTCATTCATGGTGCATCTGTGATCTACTGGATCATTCAGCTGTGCTGATCTGATCCAGATCAGGTGTGAGCACACAGTCACTTTCCTTTTGAATTAGCTAGAGCATGCAATGCAGTGTTTATGCTGACTTTATGCCAGCTGCAGGAAGGACAGATGAGACCTGATTCAGCATAAAGCTTGCTGGTACAAAGTTAACGTACCAAAAACATTGGGTTTTTGAACAAATTTAAATTGGCAGAGTGGGTTCATAGCAGATCAGGTCTCTGCATCATTTAGCTGCATCATTTTTTGATTCAATGGTAGGAGCCTGATGGTTGGATTTACTGTATTTACAAGCTGAGCCTTGGAGTACAGAGTCACAGTTGTTTGAAGCTGGTCTAAGTCTATGCTGTTACTGAAAAGGCAAATCCCTAGAGTGGTAATATTTGACTATGTCTGGCCTCATACTGCCAGACCCTTGCTTCTGCTGACACTGGAAGGAAGACACCTGTGTGATCAGGTTGTTCAGGGAATTAATCAGATTGAAAAAGAATAATTTCTTGAAGAATAAGTTGTGTGAGTGCTAATTATAAGAGGATGAAAGGAGGACTACACCTCTTACACTGACAGTATTGCCTTAGACTGGCTTAAATGTGTCCTGAAGCTACATTGTAAGAGGCTGGTGGTGCCAAATTCAAGAATGACCATAGATCAGGAGAATTATTCCTTTATTTTAAATACAGTGAAAATAATTTAAATAAGTTTGTGTATGCAGAGTACATGCCTGTAAAAATGTTCTGTGTTAAGCAATTATTTCAACAAACAGTAATTTGTAAAAGGGGCTTGTGGAACAAAGGTAGAAAGAATATTCCAGATAAAGGCGTGCAGTACTGTGAAACGCTAGGGCTACATACTAAGACTTGACAAAAATCACATCTTCTCATGTTCCATGCAACTTGTACTCTGTATTTAATTGTCTGTTTCTATAGGGACTTATCAGCCAAATATTTCACAATCTGATGGTAATAGTCACGGGAGTATTGGTGTTTACTTATAAGGTACGTATCTTGCTGGCAAGGCTTATAGATGTGCCAGAAAAATCAGATTTTGATTCCAAGTCAGTGTATTTGACCTAATATGAGATGTTCATTACTGCTAGAGACACTTTTCTCTAACAATGAAATAGAGGGCAGTTGATGATATTTGACTGTGACTTGGGATACAGAGTACTGTTCAGATTGAAAATAAGTTATTGTCTACATTGAGGAACTGGTAGTTTTTTGTATATATCTTGAAGACATAATGGCAAAAGAGTAAAATCACGTTATAGTCTAGGTGTTTGCAAATTCTTCCTTCTGTGCTGAATTTAAAGTAAGAAACTCAGTCCTTTCATTTTGTTAACTGACCCGGTAAGTAGAAGCAGAGATGGAATATATCATCAGTCATGTATATGCCCAAGTTAACTATATTCAAGATTCTTTATTTCAGTAAACTTTCATAGGACTAACACTGTGTGGCTCTCTGTTCCTATGCCCCTACAGCTTTTCATATTTTTCACGCCCATTAATATCTTCAGTTACTGGAGATAATTTTTAAGTAGTTTTGAGGTACGACAAGTGCGAAAAAATAGAGTAGGAATTTTTTTCATTTGCAGCCATTAATGTATAATGTCTTCTGATGCCTCAGTAGGGCTTAAAGGGCAAAGTGGAAATTTTAGACTTAGTGTTTAATTGTTTCTGTAGACCTCATTATTATATAAAGTGTAAATATATGTAAAAGTTATAAGGCAGTTCCAATGGTGTAACTGCATTCTAAATAGAGAAAGATGGAAAAACTTTCCAGATCCATATTTAAAGAGCTGAATCAGTTTGAATGCTTAATTTTTTACCCCTTGACCTTCACATAACTTTTCTAATTGCCTGTAGTAGCTTCCGCTCCTGGTGATTTTGAGGAGAAAGCTCTGACATTTCATTATTTTAGGGAACTTTTTATTTCTCAACTATTGTAAAAAACAGTAACTAAGATTATTTTTAATTAGCCTTAGTTCTCATGAATAGGCCCACACGTGTCCTGAACAATGATGCAGTCCTTCAGTTCTACCAATTAAATTAATAATTAGGTCTCTTCAAGAAAATTTGACCATGCGAATACAGATTTTACTGAAACTCACCAAACACAGTGTGCTGACTGGGGCAGTTTCCAGAAACTTGAGCTTTCTGCTGAGAAGACCTGGCAACCTGCTCCAGAATCAGCATCCAGTCAGCTCTCAGAAACAGACAAAAAGAGCAACTCAGTGGGTAATTCCCTCAATGGGATACAGGAAGGGCAAGTTTTCAGCTCCTTGGAGAGGTTTAAAGAAATGACCTGATCATGATGCTTTTAAAAGGTATTTCTATATAATTCTTGCACAAGCATGCACGTGTGCTTCTTTTTTTATTTATTGTTTTACAGAAGAACATACGTTTCATGCCTTCTGCCCTGTAAAAGTATCAAGAGCTGTAAAATCCAGTCTAGGTGGATTTACACGTGCACAGAAAAAATCAAAACCTTTAGTACAAAAATTCAGATGGCAGAAAAAAACTAACAGTGTTTTAGAAGAGGAAACCACCAAACGCTGTCCAGCTATGTCCTTGTTCACAGCAACCATATGTGTTAACAGTTACCTATTAGATGAAAATTTGTAGGCCTTACAAAGGAAGATAACCAAAACAATCCATGCCAAACAAAAGGTTGCTAGAAACCTGACTTAAGGGAAGGGGAGAAATCTTGTGACCACGAGCCTTCTTATGGAGTTGATCCAAACATATGAGCAAGGCACACGCTCTAGAGCTCTGTTAATTTAGAAGGTTTGGAAAGTAATAATTTTGAATCATAGCTACACTTGAAACCAGCATGTATGTACCTATTTACCTGCAGAATTAAGGGTCTTACTGTGTTGCATTTCCTCACTTAAATGTTCGAAAATACTAAGACCAGATAGCATATGATAAAACGCAGTAAGCGCACTCTCCATTATAAATGGCTGAATAGGATACTGCAGTGCTGTTAAATTGAAAGGCAGGTCTGAAAGGAGTTTTAGGAGTTTTACATTAAGAGAAAGAATTAATTATGACTATTCTTTGGAAGAATGACGTCTTAGTAAACTATATTTTTTTTTTTTTCATATTTACAGACCAACCTTTAGGCTTGTCTGCTGACCTGAAAAAAAATAAAAAATGACCCCTTATTCTTCTGTGTATGACATACTTACAAAGATAAATATGGAATACAGAGGGAAGAAATTCGTGAAGTGTGATCTTACTCTGTATACATTCTTTTATGACCTTAGCATAAAAGGTCATAAACCTTTTATGCTAAGCATAAAAGCAAAAACCACCTCATTGTGGTTTTTGAATAGTTTCTGATAGTAAAGTAAGAGATGGCAAAAATTGTTATCATGTTTCCCTTTACAGAATAGGGCAAATATTGTGACCTCTTGTTTCAGCTTTTATTCTTCTGGGTTTTTTGTTAGTCATGAATTTGTGATTTGGTTGGTTGGGGTTTTTTTCCTCCTGTAGCCTGCAAGAAGAGCAAGGATATACTCTAATTTTTCCATTCTTCCCTTGACACTTGTAGCTGAAATAATAAGATGAAATAACCTGTTAGAAGGTGGTTCAGAAAACTGCTTGTAATAGACAATCCAGTATACCTATATCATGGAAAGCTTGCAATGTAGACTCCTAAAACGTTGTTGAGCCTTTGTACCCAAAGCTATTGGTCTTTAGGGTTCTTAATACATGTGGGCTTTCAAGTCCTACTTTCAATTGTGCTTTAGTTGATTTGAGTGCCTTCATGCCAGATTTTATTAAAGATACTGGGAATAAAATACTTGAGTAACTCCTCAAAACTTTTTTAATTTGGTAGAAAAGCTTTTGCATACATTTATTTTCAAAAATACTGGGAGAAAAAGCTCATTTCCTCTGAAAGAGCTGAGGGAGCCTTCAGCCAAGTTCTTTCCCTCTTCTGAGGTGATTTGTTGTGCACTCGCTCACAGTGCTGGCCCACTTGGCTCTGTGTTATCTAGGAAGGAGATCTGTGCTCGACCACCGAGGCATGTGGTAGAAGCATCAGTGTTCGACTTGACTGGTCCTCTTGCTGCCCAAGAATGAGTGTTGGTACGGAGTTCCAGGACTGGTCATCATTTAGACAACAGTCTTGTTAGTTCAGATAGCTCAAACATTTGGAAGACTAAATGCTAGCTACTCCTTAATGAATTATGAAGTTCAGTTTAAAGCAAGTATATCTGAAAGCTGAAATATTTTACAGTTACATTTTTAACTCTAATTAATATGAACCGAAGATGTCAAAAATAATGTTATGATAACCTGTTGTGTGTCACTGAACTAATTACTAGATTATTTTAATTTGTCCAATTAAGTTCATAGTCCTTACTAATGGATCCATTAGCTTTTTACAAAATGACACATGTTGATCTCATGGAAAAATCAAATAGTCACTATAGTAAGCATGGTTGCTTCAAATCACAGTTGCTTTGTCAGAAAACTTACTGACAGCCTCCAGTCAGATGCCTAATTCTACATCAAGAACCATCCTGTACTTTTTCTTTTTGTGTTTTTACAGTTACCAAACTGAAAAGACTTTCAAAAATACCTACTGTTGAACTGTGTTGTGAAAGTCAAAGTTTTATCAATCTAAATTCTTTTCCTTTACAGTCAAAAATAGACAAGCTATTATTTATGTCAAATATGACTTTTATATCAGTAGTCTTTACATCCTTCATTTTTCTTTACTGCAAAACCATTTGGTGGAGAGTAGTCTTCTATTGAAAATGGATCTGTGATCCAGTTTTTCTTTGTTAGTGGTGGGAAAGGTGTTTTGGGGTTTGGAGTTTTAATGTACATGTTTGTTTTTATTAAATTTGGTGTGTCAAATTCA